TCTTCACTGAGGCCAGCTTCCAGCCTTCTGCGCTGAGACTGCAGCTCTACACTAACTTTTGGCCAGCGGAGAAATTAAAAGGGTCGTGCCTGAAGGATTCGGATTTCTGCTTTCCAATTCGTCTCATCATGGACCAACGTTTATCCTTTTCTCATCATCTTGTTTCTCATAATTTTTTTTATTAAAGAGCCCATATTATACATGAAATAGGGTCATATCTTGGTTGTAAGGGTCTCCAACAACAGTCTAATATGCATGCAAAGTCAAAAAACACTTTCATGGTCTTATAATCTGCATTTATTTTTACCTAATTATCCCAGCGACTCCTGTATGAATCGTCCAGTAATTCATTTGTTCCCAAACCCCTCCTTGCCGCGAAGCTAATCTGCACTGATTGGACCGATGACAGTCTGTCACGATTGGTCGACTGCCTTTAGTCAGAGAATGAAATGCCCAATAGCTAATCAGCAATATAAAAGTAATCACTGTTCATACGCGCTCCATAGTGTAGGCGTGGATTTTAGCTGCCACACACACACACACACACAAACACCTCTGGACGACATTGCTCCCGCTTCCGCCCGCACCCGCCAGGTTTTAGCCTGAACCCGACCGCTCCCGCTTATATTTAGAATTTCTTGTCCCGGTGCCCGGTCCGCCCCGTTTTCTGCCCGCCGCGCCCGATCCCGCTAAAGAGCGGGGGAGAACATAACCGAAAATCACCCAGCTAAACAGTCCAGAGACAGCCAGACAGAGCTCTCTCTCTCTCTCTCTCTCTCATACGCGCGCACTAACACATACACACAAGCGCCAAGCAGACACACAGGCAGGCAAAGCTCTGTCTCATTCACATAGCAATATCCACGATATTGCTAGACAGCCCGCTCCCGTCCCAAATTAAACCTGTTACCGACCGCTCCCGCGATTGATTCGGAAATTAATTACCACGCCGCAGAAATCTGGCGCGGGGACAGCCGCGGGAATGCAGACCTCTACCACGGAGCTCCGTAAACAAACAGCACGCGTCGCGTTTCTAACGTGACTTTGCACGCGATAAGAGAATATAGCCAGTTAACCTGATACAGTACACTCGGTTACAAGTAACAAATCACAACTAAATACATTTGCAAGCTAGAGTCAACGAGGCAGCTTTAATCGCACGTACTTACATTTGAGAAATGGAGGAAGAAACTCATCCTGACGTCCATTAGTAAGTTACTCTTTACTGATCCTTACTTTAACAAACGCAGATGAAGTATTCTTTGTAGCTTGTAGTTTCCAGAAGTTTCCAACTGCTTGGTTATAATGCTGAGGTTTCATCTCTGGGTAGAGAATCGATAATGTCCATCTGCAGTGTGACTTCAATCGACCGGCATGTTTCTGTGCGTGTGTTTGTGGGTGTGTGTGTGTGTGTGTGTCTGGGTTTCTGCGTCAGAGGGCGGGGCCTCAGGTTTGAAATCTCCCGGGTTTGCGCGTGCACGTGAATAACTTGGTTTCGTTCGTACGTCATGGCGAAACACCTAATGAATCGATATCAAGGCGACTCGTTTGAAGCACTATGAGTCGACTCTTTTATAGATGAATCAACCGTTTTAAACACTGTATTCTTACAGATTTAAGCCTTAGCTGGATACTTCACTTCACTTAGAGTTGTGTTACACACTACATGGAGGGGAATTTTCAAAAACCTATAATATGGGCTCTTTAAATATAATTATTTGATCATTTGAATGAGTATTTAACTGTGAATTGCAGAGCCGGCCCAAGCAGAGCCGGCCCAAGGCATAAGCGAACTAAGCGGCTGCTTAGGGCCCCGTGGCCACCAGGGGGCCCCCAAGAGTGCTTGAAATTATTGTGAGACTTTCGTTTTAGTTTGTTAATTTGTGGATTAGTGGTGGAACAAAATATATGCCCATTTATAGTGTTATTTCTGACCGCGATACATACTCAGGCGCCAAGATATTTACCTAAATTTACAAAAGATCTGATTTAATTAATCAGTTTTCAACACCGACTGCAGCAGATAACCGCTTTAGCTACAGTACACCCAGCCGCCACCAGGTGGCGCTTCCCGTAATGGCGTATCATTAGACATACACCAGCGTCATGTAAACCACTGAGTCTGAGAGATGAGCCATTGCAATGGTGAATATCTCAGGCATACAGACACTTTCTTCTGTCCAAGCTGGGCCAATGTATTTGTGTGTTTCAGACATCCAGCTACCCCGTTTTTGCCACTAGTTTCTTTCTAACAGACACGCTTTTACTTCGCTATATCGCTCGCGCGTGCCTGCGGCCAGTGCAACTTCTTATGCGCTCAAACTTTTTAACTCCGCCAAAATATATAAAGATATCAATAGGACATGAACATTTAATTAGAAAGGCCTTGCGTTTATTTCACTCTTACAGACCTTGTCAAAATCTTGTAGATGGTATTTTGGCAAAAAATATTAGGGGAATTAAAAAACTTAAATATGTGAGTAAATAACTAATGTTCTCCACTGTTGAAAACATACGTGCTCAGAGGAGTCTGTGCTCACCTCTCAGAGCATTCTGATCAGTTGAAAAAATAGTGGGAATACATATTTTTTTTTATTAAAAATAAACCAGGGCTAAGCATAAAATGTTTCCATGTTTACATAAAATTAGTTGGTCAAGTTGTAATAAGTGTATATAAATTGCAATAAATTACTATTTTGGCCGTTTTATTCTTAAATGCATATTCCACTAAATTGAGATTTTGCTGCTGTGATAGAGATGTGCTCTTTTCAGTCATAAACTGCTCTCTGCACATCAGCATTTTTAAGCTTGTTTGACAGATGAGCACTTGTTTTACATTGTTGCAATTCTATAAATGCGAGTTTATAAAAGAAATTCATCATAAATTTTTGATGCATTTTCCCCCTTCATTTACCAAAATTGTGATATATTGTGGCTGGTTTTCTTGTGATCTGTCAATATATCGCAGAATCTTTGATATCGTGATTGAAGCAGCAGTGCCCGGAACAGCAGCAAAATGCTTTTTCATGAACTTGGCGATTAAAAAAAATAAGCTTCTGATTTATACAATTTAGAGTTGGTAATACACTGCAAAATTATTTTCTTTCTTATAGTTTTTGTGTGATTTTGTAGTCCAAATATCTAAAAATTCTTAAACCAATAAACATTTTCTAGAAAGATTTTTAGTCAAAATTATGTGAATTTTTCATTAAAAAAAGCTCAATAATCTGACAATTAGGGTAAATTAAAAAAAGATTGTTTTATGTTTTAAATAAGATTATTTTACTTATCTCATTGGCAGATTAATTTGTTTTACAAAAAAAATCACTTAATTTAGAATTATTTCTGAGAACTGAAAATTTTTTGTACATATTTATTAATTTGATTTATATGCGAGTATGTCTAGAAAATGCTTCCTGATTTAGTTTGATTTTAATTTAAATAGATGTTTTAAGTTATTTGAACTACAAAATACAATATGGTTTTTTTTTCAGTATTAACATTTATATCCAATTAAAAAAGAAATTATCTTTATTGTCACTATGTTTGACTGTTTGGCAGCGTCTTGTGCCTGAATAATAATAAAAATAAGTATGTTATTGTCTACTTCCAGCTGCTTTTGTTTCTGCCAGCCCATATTAATGTTTTGTGTTATTTAGATTTTTGGCAAATAGTCATATAAAAAGTTGGATCAATAGGAAGTTGTTTCTGCAGAATAATATTTAGAATTGTCTTAAAACATATATTTTATGATGTAAGCAACACAGCTACAGCGAACAAAATCAATAATGTGTGTTTTAAATTTATAGTGTGCGAATTATCAAGGATTGATAATAATTTATCATATTGTTTGCACCAAAGGGGCCCCAAATAAAATCCTGCTTAGGGCCCCCTGAAGGCTTGGGCCGGCCCTGGTGAATTGATTTTAATTAGTGAATAGGTTAACACATTGCTTAATATAAGAATGTTCAGTGCATTTGCCTTTCTCTTTATAACTATTTTCAGAAGCCACCAAACTAGGTCAGAGGGAAAGATATTAATGGGAAAGAAAAATATTGTTTCCATTTCAAAATGTCTTTCAGGAAACATGTTACCCCCAATGTGTAAAGCACTTTGAGTGTGCAGAAAAATTGCTATATAAATGTAAGGAATTATTATTATTAATTATTATTTTTTCATTTCTATGTGAAACAATTTCATGAGCCCATTTAGCCAATAAGACAAAAACATGGTTTTACTAAAGTAAGCTTACATTTATCCACACAAAATAAACCTGACTGTATTTTTTGTAGTAAAGTCGAGGTTAATTGTGTTAAATATGCCATTTCAGCCTGCAGAATGGCATTTCAAACTGTGGCCTAACAAAAATATAGAAAAGAAATATCGAGTTTCTGTAATATAAAACTAAATAATTCCTCTCACTGTATAGTTCCTAAGGTTATGTAGTGTAATATTAAAGTAAACAAATGTAATATTAACAGAATCACTCAATTAGCAATCAATCTGACTGATGTTAACGTTAAAGATTTGATTGAGCTTTTAAGTAAAACAATAATTAGTTTAACGTTACAGTACTGTTAATATAACATTAATTACATTACAGTTACATTAAGTTGCATCAATGTTAGCATTAGCATCAACTGCTAATTAGCGCTAGCTAACTAGCCTGTGTGACATACAGTAATAAACGTAAGATCTAATTACACTGACTTTAATATTCATTGGTTTAATTTGTAATTGTTTATTTTATTTAGGTTATTTTTTCTTTTTAATTCGCATTTTTCACTTAGTGAAGGTGGGGACTGTTGACTAACGTTAGTAGCTCTAAATTAGTTGACTGGAAGGCTGTGATGGTGTTAGCATGTAGCATGTTCACACATAAAATAAGTACAGTTCGCAATTAAAACCATTACCTACCTTTTGTTGTAACTTAATAAAATCTACTGCAATTGATGTCAACAAAGATGTTTAATCCACAATAATTTGATCATTATTCCTACCTGTTAGCGTTCACATCGGTTCAGTCCTTATTTAGGCTAGAGTGGGTTATTTTTTGCGAATGAATCTGTGGATTTAAATAAATTGTGAGAGTCGATTCATCCTTGACCTATTCATAAACACAACAGTTGCTTTGTTGCTGAATAAATGTCTTATTCACTTAAGACAGTGTCCTACCACCACCTACTGGCAGTTTCAGGTAATACATGGATAACTTCATTTTGTTGCATATTTTTCTTTTTAATTTATTATTTGAAGCATTATTCATTTAAAAAGAATTCACAAAAATAACGAATTTATGTAATCATAATATATAAAATATAATATAAACGATAACAATAATACTGTTAAAAATGATAAATAATTGATAATGAAAATATAAAATACCTGAAATGTGCTACTCAAAATAAATGAGTCACACACACACACACACACACACACACACACACACACACACACACACGTATAAATATATATAAACATGGTAATAATTGTAATAATAAGCAAAACGCAGGAAAAGTTGTGCATGACAGAAAAAATACATAGGCCTAAGTGCAAAAATAAATTAATAATTGGAAAAAAATGTGTATATAAGCAGGTGGCTGTGTGAGCACATTAAGGCGAATGAGCCAGTCAGTCTAGCGCGGGCCTGCATTAGAAGTTTGTTGTGTTTTAAAAAGTCTCTACGTCATACCAAATGGAACTGTGGAACTCTGACATCATCGGTGACAGTAAAAAGCTTTTGACGTAGCAGAAACTCTCATTAGCTTCTTTGGATGTCTAGTAGTTCAGTACTTTCTGCGATTCAACAGTACAGTGATAAAATGGCATTTTCAAAACTGATTAACCGTCTGAAGAAAGCGTTTGGTGTTAAGTGTGCGAACGAACAACCGTGTGAGCCACTCGAACCCACCGGCAGCACGACAGAGAATCACCGTCATCTGAAGACCGATGACCCGTCCGTCGCTGCAGGAAAACAGGCAGGGAGACAGAAAAAGAGGAAACTCAAATTGTCTCCCATCTTCTTCGCCTGTTTTTCCAGAAGAAGAGCTACTGTTGTTGGTAAAATAGATTTATGAGCACTTTTAATTACTAAAGCATACTGTTAATCACACCAAACACATCACATAAGTGTTTAAAGATCAGAAATGAACATTAAATGGAAGACATTTTAGAAAGAGTTTCTTAAAGCCACAGTTCACATAAACAAGACAATTCTGTCATAATTTACTCCTTAAACCTGTTTGAGGTGCTTTCAGCCATTGACTTCCACAGTATTTTGTGTTCCTACAATGAAGGTTAATGGCTGCTGATTTCAGGAATTTTCTTCAGAATTTGTAGTTTTGTGTAAAAAACAGAAAAAATAAGAATTATTTGTATTAGGATTTTTTATTTCAGTGAGCTTTGCCTTTAGATATATAGTTTACTTGTTTGCTAATTCAATGCAGAAAAACCCATGAAGATCATCAATAAAAACACATTGAGTAATGTTTCTGCAAATGAACTGTTCAAATATCTTGTCAAAAAGAGTTGTAGAGTCATATTAATGATGTTCCTTCCTCTCTTTAGATCAGCTATGTGTGCAGGAGATCCACGAACTTCACGCAGAGCCCATCAGTAGCTCTAAATTCTTCTGCACTGCTGTGAGCAACCTGGAGCTGGAAGTTCTCCAACCTCCAGCTCTTGATGCTCCAGCAGACGAAGATTTAGACTTTAAACCTGAAGTGAACAGCTTTGACTCTGCAGTGGTCATTGAGAACGACTCTGCAGAGCTTCACTTCACAGCAGACAACGAATCCTCCCTCAGTGAGGACAGCCTGGAACAAGAGCTTGAAAGTCCTCCAAGTTCACCATCTGATGAGGACAATGAATCTCCAGTGAGCCAGCAGCTCATAACAATTGACATCTGTGACTCTGCCCTGGATGAAAACTCGAACCCTTTACCGGATCAGGTCTCACAAGAGGACTCTGCTGTGAAGTGTACAGCAGATGATGGGACCTGCTTGGACAATAGTAAGTTTATTGCTGGAGTTCAGAACATTTGTTTAGGCTCATCAAACTTTGTAAAATTATACAGTTGAAGTCAAAATTATTCACCCTCCTGTGATTTTTTATTAATATTTTTTAAATATTTCCCAAATGATGCAGAGCAATAAAGTTTAAGTATTCAGAACTTTAAGCTGAACTCTGGTATCTTGAAAATATCCAGTAAATATGATGTACTGTCATCACGACAAAGATAAAAGACATCAGTTATTAGAAATGAGTTATTAAAACTATCATGTTCTGAAATCTGACAATAATTCTGACTTCAACTGTTTGTGTTTTTATTTGGTTTATAATTTAATGACATTTTCTTCATTTTTAACAGATGACATCAGCTGCCGCTACAAACTCGGAAAGCAGCTTGGTGAAGGAGGTTTCGGCTCCGTGTATGAGGGGATTCGCATACAGGATGGTCTGCAGGTATTCATTTTTGTAGACTCAAATCCTCTGATGAAGTTCCCTGTTTAAAGAACATCATCAGAGCTTTCATTGTTTGGACATTTCTGCTGACGAATGAATCCTCTGTTCAGGATTTATGACTGAATGAAATGATCTCCGTGCACATGTTAATTGTTCGCTTGTTCCTTTAAACAGGTGGCAGTTAAATTTGTCCAGAAGACCCCAAATATGCAAGATGTCAGCTCTGTGAGTAGACTACACTTTCTGTTCGCTGTGTTCAGTTTATAAAGTCTTATATTTATTATAGACCACAGGCTGTGGTCAGAAACCCTTGTTTGAAAACCAACATTATTATTTTGTTTTCAGTCATGTGACCAGCCGCTTCCTCTAGAGATCACCTTGGCAAACATGGCCAGCGGTGGCTCCAGGTGTCCGAACATTATTAAGCTTCTGGACTGGCAGGTCTTTAAAAACCATTATGTCATGGTGATGGAGCGGCCTAGTCCAAGCATGGACCTGGAGGCATTCCTTGAAGTCAGCGGAGGAGTCCTCAGTGAGAAAACAGCACATACCATCATGAGGCAAGCTGTTTATGCGGCCAACGTGTGCTGTTACCGTGGGGTGTTCCACCGGGACATTAAGCTTCAAAACCTGCTGGTGAACCCCGACACACTGGAAGTCAAGCTGATCGACTTCGGGTGTGGAGACTTCATGATGGAATCAGCCTACAGTCTCTTCTCTGGTAGGTGTTTTGAATAGTGTGGTCAAAAGTATCGACTTCGGTACCAATCGATTCTGACATTTAACAAGTCAATTTGAGCGCTGTTAAACACCACTGATTGGCCATTGGTGTTCACATGCTCAGCAAATATGACTGTGATGAGTGTCGGTATCGATTGGTAGTTGATACTTTTGACAACACTAGTTCTGAATGTGCATAAGCATTATTAATATACGTATTGAAAGCTGGTTAATTAGCACAGCTGAAGCCCATCTGGTATATATATTCAACATGATGCTAAACTAAACGTCTCTCCTCCAGGCACAGAAGCGTACATCCCGCCAGAGTTTTATGAAAAAGGATGCTACCGGGCCAAACCAGCGACGGTCTATTCTCTTGGGGTTCTTCTGTTCACAATGCTCCATGGAGAATTCCCATCAGCGTATGACCTGTACTACCTTCAACATGACTGGTCCAAATTTACCCTCTCTCAAGGTGAGATGTTCATCAAAGAACAATTAAGTGAAACAGCTTAATAATAATAATAACAATAACCTCACCTCTCCATTTCTTCTTCACAGAATGCTGTGATATGATGACGGCTTGTCTGCATGAGAATCCAGAGTGCAGAATTCCTCTAGAAGAGATGCCTTACCACGACTGGTCCATGCTGGAGTTCTGAGTCACATTAGCAGAATGTTTTGTATATTTGATTTTTGTACATGTCTGTAATAAAGATATATTTTATTGAACTCACTTGTGTTGTGGCTTATATTGTGATCTAGCCCCAGTGTTGTCAGATTGTGTGGATTTAAACTGGTTTTGTATGGGGTGACAAAAATTTGGCATGAGGTTTGAACAGCATCCAGTCCTTTCCAACACACACTGCAGTTGACACTGGCGTCATTACGGTGCACTTTTAGAAATACACTTTTTCAGAATGCTGTACAGCGCTGACCCAAAACCTAAACATATCAGTCACTGCGACATCAGCAAATCATCCATAAATATTCCAATGGTTTATTGTGAAATCAGAGCTGTTCAGAAAAATGTATTAAAATACAAACGTCGTAACATGAGAATGCGAGACTCAATACAAAACATCAGCATTTTCACAATAAGAGCACCCAGTTTTATTAAGGTCTTTGAGTGTTTGTTGCCATCATGACAATCCTAAACAAAATATTCAGTGATATTCCTTCAAATCAATACTGATAGTGTAGTTTGCGCAGACACACTGAGGTTTATCCAGTGTACAGAAGTCTGAATCATCCACATTATTTCATACGCTTCCAGAAACACGTTTACTACACGAATGTCCAGCGTTTGCTAAAACTGTTCAACTCTTTAGATGATTCCTTTCTTACAACATCTCCAACTATGACTGCTTCTCTTTACTCACCATTTCTTAATCTTACTAAATACTTCACTTGATGTCACTCTGTGGACTCTGGGGTCATGTGCAGCATGAGCAGGTCGGCCCCCCGGCGGACCACCACATTTAAGCTTTCGCTGGTCCTCACAGCATTATATATCTCCTCTGACGTGTTCACCTTTACCCCATTGATCTCAATAATAACATCTCCTGGCTTCATTCCGGCTCTGCAAAACAGAAAACAGGAAATGACATCATCAATAGGATGCCTTAATCAACAGCTGATAACATCATGTTCAGAGAGCAGCACACCTGTTGGCTGGAGATCCTACAATCACACGGTGGATGAGAACTCCATGAGAAACATCAGCGAAGGACGGGTCTCGCATCCTTAGTTCTTCGATTATACTGAGGAGGGGAAAAAGAGAATTTAAAGATGATAAAAGACTCACTTCAGTGCAAAGTTTACAGTTCATGGATTGATTGATAAATAGATAAGATAGATAGATAGATTCATAGATAGATAAATTGATAGTTTGATAGATAGATCAGCAAAACAATCAATATTACATTTGCTTCAACCAAAAACACCTCAACAAAACATTCATACTACTTCAGTCGCATAGAGTGTGACAAAGGAAATGCTGTTAATTCGCAATGCATTGAATTAAAGGTGCAGTAGGTGATTGTCCGCAGAAACATTTTAGTTGTGCTGGTTGAAAATCTCTTTACAGTCCAATAGTAATGATTAAAGTAAATGATCTAAATGTGTTTTTATGTATTTTATATTCTGGGTAAAGCATAAAACTAAAAAATGTTCATCCAATTAAATATTGTCGGGTCGACATCTCCCGTAATTCCGATAAGTAGCTCAAACTGTCTGTCAGCAAATGCAGATTTCAGGGGGTGTGGCTTTGAATCACAGTCCCTCCCCGCGGTCCAAAAATAATAGGCTAAGCGGTTAGCATTTTGGCAGATCCCCTTCTGCACCTTTAATTATTCACAGAAGTGTTCAAATCAATACCATAATTGAACTCGTGTCATTTGGGGCAAAAAAATAAAGAAAATATGATATTGTTCAACTCTACATTATTTATACAAAACTAAAACCTTAAATGGGAATATTTGTTTCCCCAATATCTTGAATTTTACAGGGCTCATACAGGCACAGCCTAATGAAAATCAAAGACTTAAGCACTTTTTTCCAGCACCTATTTTTATTTTCAACACTGGCACGCAACATATTAAAACATTGCATAGGAATTTATATATATACACAAATAAAAACCATTAATGATCATAATAATAATATAATTAATGAATCAATTGTAATTTAATAATATAATAAACCTGCACTAAATGTGCTTGTGAAGTTTTTTTTGTACTCAAGTAAAAATACTATTACACTGCTAAAATAATACAAGTTTTAGTAAATCGTGGTTCCATCCCAAAGAGGGAAGAAATCACTTTCGCGAACTCTCGCGTTCAATCTGCCCAGTTGGTGGAATGAACTCCCTAACTGCATCAGAACGGCAGAGTCACTCGCTGTTTTCAAGAAATGAATAAAAACTCAACTATTTAGTCTCCACTTCACTTCCTAATCTGCAATTGCCTCTGGATATACCACTAACTGTACTCCAAAAAAAAAAAAAAATACTAATACTTTCCTTCTTAGACTTTACACACCTGAAACTTGCCTAAAGCACTTATTCATTGTTGCTCTTATAGTTGGGTAAATTGCTTCCTTGTCCTCATTTGTAAGTCGCTTTGGATAAAAGCGTCTTCTAAATGACTAAATGTAAATGTAAATAATACCAAAATTGAGTAAAAGTACAAAGTACTCTTTTAAAACTACTCAGAGTACTAGTTAGATTTATATTTTTTTTAAACTCAGATTTTCATTATGGCCCTTTTTTTTAAGAAATAATAATACATTTATTTGAATGGTTTAATTGCTTAAATCACAAAGCTACATATATAAAAATGTGCACTAACAAAGGAAGTATGGTCGATTTTTCCTTCCATGACAATTAATCTTTTTCAATAGTACTGGCAAAACTACCACACACTCTATAAGGCCATAGAGACACATTTTGTCCATTTTTAAACAATATTTTCAAGCTTTGAAAGTTTTAATTAAAGTATATGATAAAAAGATTTTTTACATATTTTACACTATTTTTCTTATTTGCTCATCGTCTTTACAATATGGCAAATTTGTTTCTTAAATAGCTGTACAGCACATGGAGATTTTATTTTACACTTGATCTTAAACTGAAATAATTTTACAAAAAAAGACTAGTACACTGTCAGTAATAAAATAATAAAGCAAATGACTTTGTTTAACTCTAGGTATTTGAAATATGACAACACTGCATTTTTCAAAGCAGTGTTTGAAGAGCCTTATTGTTTATTATGATAAATGTAACAGCAGATTGCTTTGACCTGTAATGCCTGTACAATTCAGTGATGCTTTAAGACAGATCAGAATACAGCTGCTGTGTATAAATCCCACAAACACCTCAAACAGAAACATTTCTAGCATAATTCTTTTGTCGTAAAGAAATATAAAAAGTCCCAACTTTGCTCAAAGTAAATTTCACTTGATGATACAGCCAAACAATAAGTCTGTAATCTAAATACTAAATTTAGTCAAGGAGCAAAGATAAATAATTTCTACTTTAATAGCGAAGAGATCGTGATTGTAAACAATGACTGCGCTCTCATGTTAAAATAAAGCGCTCGCAACATTTGCAGAAATGAGTAATTGCGCAATACCTGCATTCCCGTGCCGACATTCAGAAGAGTGACAGACAAGTCAAAGGAAGAGAGCGGAGAGAAGAGAGAAAAATGTGTGTGTAGATCGTTAAAATGGCAGGAAGTATGTCCGCAGTTTAATTACTTTTGCTAATAACATAGTGAAAACATCCGAAAGGCATTATTAAAATAAAAAAAATCTTTTTAAGTAGTTTTTTTTCTGTCACTGCAACACAGTAAGGTCTTTTTCCCGCCGTTACATTCAATGTAAATCTAGACAAGGTAGCTGTGATTGGCCACTTCTCATATCATTTAAATCACTGCTTCGGAATCACGGTAGATTGTGCGGGTATTTTTGCATTAAATTGTCACAAAAGTTCACAAACATTTTTATTTTTCGGGCGTGAAAATTGCATACAAATTCTCTTTGATAAATTAAGCACTTTTCAACAGAACAAGCCAATTTTCCAGGTATTCCAGCACTTGAATTTCTAAGAGCCAAATCTAGTGGTATATAACAAAAATCTGCAGATTCCATAATGTATGAATTTTGCTCTCCTGTAAAATTGTAATAAAAGTGTTTGGCACCTGGGGGTCAAAGTCAACATCATCACTCCAATGTAACGCCTTTTCGATCCCGATTCTCCAAACCAAGACTCTGAAAAAAAGACCCAATAACCATCTGTCAGTGAAAAAATAAGATGTCACAGACAAAAGCAAGCAGCTGTGAGGTCATTCTTACTCTGTTTGTCTGCAGATCGGTCTAGGAAGAGACGGACTCTGTCTGAGGGAATAGCGAAGGAAATCCCTGCTGTCACTTTCATGGTATTAATGCCGATGACCTCACCATCCTGAAGAGTACAAACATGACACATCAGTTTATTACATAAGGCTAGAGTATGGCCAGTACAATACAATATTGATGAACATTTGAAAACAATTTACGTCCTTAATATGACAGTCATGAAGCTCTGTGTTGCTCTGAAGGTCCAGCAATCTGTAGTCAACTACTAAATGTGCACTGATAACTTTCTCCTTCACATTATTGTACAAGGAGGGTACCACCGTAGCTGTGAGATGCGCTCTACTTGGGATTTCGTAGTGTGGTTCTAGCACACTAATTAAATGCCTTAAACCGGAGGTTTCTACCACTGAATAAGGTTGCATGTCTGTGGCTATATATACTCCTACCCTAATACTCCTACCGCGCTTGTATTTGCCTTGGCTTGTGTTGAATTACTTGGAATTTTTATTCTAAATGAAGACAGGAGAGTAGTTTGTGTTACACTTGTCGGTTTAACAGATAAAGCAATGATTTTGTGGACATCAGTAATCTAACTATTTGCCTTAATCTGATTAAAACAACAATATGATTAAGGTGTTTACATGAGTTGCTTTTTGAATGTTCATTTCATGATCCCGTTTTACATGTTAAAGCACATAATACGATTAACGTCATTGTGTCACCACGCTATCCACGTTTCCTCCGTAATTTAGTCTCATAATAAGTTTCATGTAATTTCGGGGAGTTTCATTCTAAATTTGTCGCTTTTAACTGGTTTGGCACTTTCATTTTCATTCAGGAACATTCATTTTCATTATTAGCATTTTCATTCAGTGCCCC